ATGGCTCTAATGCATGGAGTGTTAGCAGCTCAAGGCTTCTGATGTTCACATCGTCAATCAGTAGTCTCTGCTGAGGACCCATTACGTGTTGAGCAGGGACAGAACGATGCACACCATGGATGTGTCTCTGCCTCCCTGGAATGTATAGGCCTGCGGTTGCGGGCACAGACGTTGAACAGATAATTGTACTAATCAGGGTATAACTATGGGTGGATATTTTTATGCTTGTGTGAGGTGGTGGAAGCTCACCTGGCCTAGGAGGGTTTTTAAAAAGTTTTTTTAAAAAAAGTATTTATCTTTGAGAGAGCGAGCATACGCAGGGAGGGGGAGAGAGAGAGGAGGACAGAGGACCCCGATGCGGGTCTCGAACCCATGAACCCGGAGATGATGCTCTGAGCCAAAGTCAGACGCTCAACCAGCTAAGCCCCCCAGGCGCCCCCGGCCTGGGAGTTTTGAGGACTTCCTGGCCGTGGTGACAGATAAAGGATGCAGAAGGAGAAGCCAGGCAGAGAGGGAGGAGGCAGGGAGGCTGGCTGTCCGGCATGTCCAGGGAACAGCAAGTCTGACACAGTCAGGGAGCTGAGAGCCTGGGTGAGGCCAGAAAGCCGGGCTATGCAGGCCCCGTAGGTCAGAGTAGGACAATGGTCTTTGTTCACCGAGTGCGGTCAAGGAGGTAGCATAGTTCTTGGGAGAGCATAGATGTTAATATGATATGGTTATTCAGACTTGATAAACAACATTATTAAGTAATATTCAGTGTTAGCTATTACTGTTTATTTTCAGAGCAGAGGGAAGCCCCTAAAAAATTTTAGGCAGGTGTAGTGACATGTGGCATAGTCAAATTTGCATTCCGTGGCCTTTTTCTGGCTGCTGTGTAGAAAACAGATATGAGAGAGGAGGTTTGATGCATAGGGCTCCGAGAAGACCGGACGCAAGTGTAGTCACTGGACAAGGGATTGGGACAGACACGGTGAGTCGTCCAGGGGCCTGTGGCTGACTGGTGCCTACAGCCATGACTCAAGAGCTGCATGACGTGGAGGGTCTCTAAGCTGTACGAGATTGTGCAAGTGTACGGCTACTTTTCCAGAAACTTTGATCTATCCAGTTTTAGAGTTAGTAGGAAGCCTACTGTGCAGTCCACTCGTTTGTTCGACTTTGGAAGGCATCTCACTAGGACTATTAAGTAGGTTGTAGAATCCATTGAGAAGGCCACGCTTTCAGAAACGTTCCCCCAAAGCCACATCACGGAATAGACCTTCACAAGAGTTGCTGCCTCATCTTCCACGGAACGCTGACGAGCATAGATGTTAATATGGTAGGATTATTCGGACTTATTTGATAAATGACATTATTAAGTAATATTCAGTGTTAGCCATTACTGTTTATTTTCAGAGCAGAGGAGGCTTCCCTCTGTTGTCGCTGCAGCTCCTGTACAATCTCTTCCCAGCTGATCAACAAAACAGGATGGGCAACGCGAATGTGCAGAAAGCAACATGAATGCGCAGAAAGCTAGCAGCCAGGCCATTAAGATCTCTTCCACAACTACCGCCAAACACATAAATGCCTCCCAGTGCATGCCCCACGATGCTGTGGTCCGTCTTCGATTGGCAGAACCTTAATCACATCAGAACCCTAGCTGCATAGAGTTTAGCTTTTTAGCTCTACAGTCTAGGGCAACTCACCATAAGGAAGCAGGAATGAGCCCTCCTATAGGACACGCCGTGTGCCCTGGGTTCACCGCGATGCTAGACATTCAACAAGGATTTGCCTTTTCCTGCCTCACAGTACTAGCTGTGGACACGTGGGTGTTCCCAGAGCTTCAGTGACCTCCTTTATCAAATTAGAGTTAATGATATTTATCGTCCAGGGTTCCTGGGGGGATTTAAGTTAACTATGACAACATGTCATTGCCCGATGCGTGGTAGGCATTCAGTGAATGAGACCTCAGTCAGTCACTGACCACCACTGCACAAATCTACAGAGGAAGCAGAATCCCTGAAAGGTGGTGGTAAAGTAGAGCTTGCTGCTAGAGAGATTTAATGGCCCAGATAAATGTGCCCCTTGTATGAGGCACACGGACTTTGGGGAGCATATTCGTCCCCGAAAGAGAAGGTGGGATTTGAGTGTGTGCTTTTTATTTGTGATTTCTTTCATTTTTAATTAGTTTTTTTTAATTAAAAAAAGAAGGCATACACACAAACAATGATAAGAAAGGCCTTCTTTGCAGCTCAAGTATTCTACCTGAAATATCTTCTGCTTATAAGTATATACATAATACAGATGCTTTCTTTGTTCTCCTACAAAAATTGGGTTATGTGTTCGTCCGTCCGTCCTTCCTTCCTCCCTTCCTTCCTTCCTTCCTTCCTTCCTTCCTTCTTTCCTCTCTCTTTGACATCTCTGTGACTTGTTGATTATATATAGATCGTTGTTTAGTTGTTTACATTGTTTTGCTTTACAAACTTTGCTCTGACATCCGTTCTTCAACAAAAGTGGCTGTATCTGTATAATAAGTTTTAGAAGCAGAAAGGCTGGGTCAAAGGTTAGGTGCAGTTTATAATTTTATTCATATTCCCAAATGGCTCTCCAAACCCTTGTCGCAGGGCATGCTCTGGACCAATCCCATGTTTGCCATGTTTGTGCCTCTGTCCTCACCATGAGTGTATCATCAGACCCTTTGACATTTGCCATGACATACAGGTATTTAAGAAGCGATATGAGGGTTGACCAAGAGGAATTCTGACCCGGGGATAGAGCTAAGGAATTAAATGCAGGATAGGAGGTGAGAGAAGATAGGACTTACGTTTAAATAGAAAGGGAAAGTGGTAACTGGACACTATGTACCAGGCAGTGGCTTGAGCAGGCAGTGCACTGCGTTCAGTCCTTATAACCACGTTTGGCCATAAACATTTTTGTCCCCCGTTTGACTCTGACTCCTGGTCTCTGTCCACTATACCGCCTGTGTCCTTATTCTACAGTTGAGGAACAAAGGCCCCAAAATGGTTAAGTGACGTATCTAACATCCCAAAGCAAGTGAAGTGAGGACAAGGTTCCTTTTTGCATCTTCATACACCTTACGGAAGGCCAGGATTCCAGGCTTTACCAGCAAGGCCGTAAAAGATCTGATTATCTCTTCAGGGTGTATTTCATCCACATTTGAGTCCCATAGTTCCATCGAATTCAGTTATTTTCAACAATCAAAGCGTTTTCATTATAGTTGCGTGGACATGGTCTGAAACTCACTGACCTTTTTCACACTGGTGACAGGTTCTGTGGAAAGTTCTTCCTCGGAGATTTTCTGTTCCTTTCTACAACAACTGCCATGTTTACCCAAGGAGCACTCTTGACAAAAGCTACATGAGATGAAAACTCTAAGCTTCCTGGGATTTTAAGATTTTCTAATAAAGGATTACACAGCCCATTGTGAATTCTACCCTTGGTCCTCAGGAATCTTAAAATTGGCCTGTAAATCCCTCCTTGAAACACTCTTGGAGACTGAGGCTAGCATCTGGGCCCCTTTCCTCATTGTTTGCTGCTGCTTCAGACAGACTCCCTGACCTTTTCTGGGTACATCAGTTTCCCCTTGAGTTAAAAATGCGTGACTCAAGATGATCAAATCTAACAATGATTAGAGCCCTTCAATTAGAGCGTGAAGTCTCCGTGAGTGCATGACTCTTAAATGGGACAGTAGCTGGGTTAATCATCCTTACCGGAGAGGTGGGGTGATCATTGAAAATGTGATGGAAAGAAGAAAATTTTAAAAATAAACCTTTTACCTGAAAGAATGAAGCTGGACCAATGACTTTTTTTGTTTTTTAAATTAAGAAAGCCCAACTTTTGAAATGTCCCAATTGGAAAACATCCCATGGATGGCCATTCTTTTAGGGCAGAGCCATGGTATTCTGGAGGAATAGCCACTTGATGTAATTACCCAAAGCAAAGAAAAAAAAAAAAAAGAAAGAAAGAAAAAAGAGGGGTGCAGGGGGGGGTGTCAATGTCAAAGAATGGAATTTGAGAGCTGCAGAGGTCTTAGAAATTAATCCAACCTCAAGTTTTATAAGAATGGAAATGGAAACAGTAAGTACATGGGATGTAGCCAAGAAACCACTTCTGAGCAGCGTCTGTCAGCCGAAATGAGAGCCTCCCTCCTCTGTCTTCATTTGGTGCATTGTTCAATTTTCATGTATGTGATCCGTATCTTATAATCTGCTGAGAAAATACAACTGTCTGGGATTTTGTTTGTTTTCCTAAAGTGGACAGTGGCCTATTTTCCGAGCTATCCTGCACTGACCTCACTGTTTTTAACTAAAGAAAGGGTACACACACGGGAAGATGAATTTGTTAAGAGTGGCTCAGATAACGTGGACTGGACTGTGTTTTACTCGGGATGCTTAGTCGATAGGTAGGATCTGTGATCTTAGTCTTGTGTTAGAGCCTGCCATCCGACTTTGAGTTTTACAATAAATGAATAACCGCTGTGTATTTATACTGTCTACTTAAGTCGGGAAACAAAGTGTTTTCTTTGTGAATGACCAACTGCTCAGGACTTGTTTCAAACTGATGATATAAATAATCTAACAAGGTCCTTCGTTGTACATTTCTCGCAGCAAACAGAACGCAATGTGTTTTTATAACCAGATAGCTATTTGATTTTTTTTCTCTTTCTCACATTTGGATATAAATGGATATAGAATTACTTAAAATGCTGCATATAAATTAAACATTAAAAGGGAGATACAGAGAGGCTAAGCTGCCCCATTATAATCTTTAGTTCCGCAGTCACCGCCTCAAGGACACTCCATTTCATATCACATGTCCTTCTTTTGAAAAGTGATCACCAAGGTTCAAGTAACATTTAAGCATAGCAGACAACTGCATAATTTATAGACCTTTTTTTGTTTTGTTTTGTTTTGTGTTCTTATTTTAATGAAAAACAGGAACTCCGCAGACTCCCTTGAACTCCCATTAACTCCTTTCTGTTCTTTCCCCTCCTGTCTTTGCAGATCGGAGCCCTGAAGGACTACTACCACTTCTACCATAGCAGGACGATTAAAAGGTCAGTTCTCTCGAGCAGAGGAACCCACAGTTTCATTTCAATGGAACCAAAGGTAAGAAGAACCAGTTGGGTGGGGACCAAGAGGCAAAGCTTCTGCATTTTTCATTGGTAACATCACACTGCGAACCGCTGACCAGCGTGGAGGCTCAAATTTCAGGAGCGGCCATACTGTCCTTTGGTCCGTCCAGTGGCTTGGCTTCCTCTTCAGACAAAAACACACAATCGCTTGCCCTGCCCTGGAATGCCATTCCCATACGGCACTTGTATGACAGCCAAGGGGGATCATAAGGTTGGATTCTCCTGGAGAAGGGAGCCGTGTGGTCGGGAGAGGTATTGATTGATTCAGAAGTATTGAGGTAACGAAAATCCCACACCGTCCTAATGAGTCCCACGTAGACCTGGGGTCCTCTCTGAACTCCATAGCGGGGTCTCTAACAGAATCCTCAGGTCACCATGGATCCTCACAATTTCAGGTGGCATTGATAGAGCCATGCCATTGGCAGCCCAGTGTCTGGGACAGCGGGCATACTGAGCATGGAAGAGGCAGAAGTTGGCTCCTGCCCTTGAGGGAGGGCTCGTCACTTGTCTTTCTTGCACGTTGTCTTTTTGGGTGATGGGTGATATAGACACATACCCTTGTGAATATGTAGAAGGAGGTGTGATATGTCCACTTTTTCCCACTCCATCCTAGAGCGGTGGGGTGGCTCTCTCCTGGGAGATAGGAAGCTGAAGGAAGTTAGGAACAAAGTAGTAGGTGGCAGCTAAAACTCAGGGTGAGTTACGTACCCGTCCTTTTTGAGGTAGAGGAAGGCACGGACTCTGAGAGGAGACGTGGCAGGTAAAGCAGAGGAGAGAGCAGCTGTACCAGCCTGCCCTGGGTCCTCTGTGGGCTCGCTGGTGACTTTGTATTGATTAGGAAGGGGTTTCCCCCCATTATGTTTTGCCACATGAGCTCATTTTCGAATAAATTGGCGAACAAGCCCCTACAAGTAAGCAGTAGCAATCTCACCAAGAGATTCCGTGAAAATTGTATTCCTTATTAAAGCAAGAAGTCCTTATGTGAATTAATATGCAAATCAGCTTTGGAGGTGGGAGGCCTGCCCTCTGCTAGATGCCATGGTTCCTTATTTAATTTGTTTCTGGAATATTATCGCCCGGCATTCGTGATTGTGAAATTGTATCTCGGTAGTTCGAGAAAGCACATTTCTCGTAGGTCTCAATTTTCTCTACCCCAGTTTTGGGTTATAGGAATAGCTCCTAAGACTTACACTCTGATGGGCTGAGGATTGTAACCCCCCCCCCCCCCCCCCCCCTGCCCCCATCTCTACTCAGAATTGAATGTCTCTGGAAAAGCAGTCTGTTGGGACTGTTCTTGAATTAGCTAAATTTTTGAAGCAGAGTCACGTTTTTTATCTGCTACACAACTTTTTTTTGAAGCTTTCTTGAACTTTGGTAATTAAAATGATTCCAATTTCATAGCTCATGTGTGTAGTCAGTGTGAATTTGAGAAACCAAATACGAGTCGGTTTGGGAGGTAAGGACAGAATGTAATGAGGCATGGTGCTCATAATGAAGGATTTACTGAATATGGAGCTGTTTCAGTCTCTAACGTTATCTTAGGAAATCTTGGTCTTCATTTCTTCTTATCTCGGGGCATCAGATAGTTTATGCAGGATCCAGCAGAGACCACGGATGCTGGCACACATCGTACCTGGAATATATGCCCCTCTTCACCGAGACTGGGTGAGCAGGGCCACTTCAGGCCGGCTCTAGGGTACCTGCTCAATTCCCCTTTCTTCCCAATAAAAAGAACACCCCTTGGGAGAACCATATGTAACTATTCTGATGTCTCCTGCCCCTCATTCCCACCCAGCTGTTTATACAAGAGGCCCGTGATCCCACCCGCCTTGCCCATGGGGTACCACAGATTGGGGGCTGTCTACACTTTCTTTTGGATGTTTCTTACAGCTCATTCATTCATCCATTGGCCATTTCTTGAGCCAATAATAATAATATTATTATTATTATTTTTACTATTTTAAAGCTTTTTTATTTTGAGACAGAGAGAGCATGAGCAGGGGAGGGGCAGAGAGAGAGGGAGAGAGAATCCCAAGCAGGGCTCCGTCCCACGAACTGTGAGATCATGACCTGAGCCGAAATCAAGAGTCGGTGCTTCATCAACTGAGCCACCCAGGGGCCCCTCGTTGTTCTTGTTTTTTAATGTTAAAAAGCTTTTTACTTAGAGAAGTCGCAAAAACGTTATGCAGAATCCCTATATAGCTGTCCACGTTCCCCAAATGTTCTTTATGTTTCACATTTCACCATACATGATCATATTCTCTGTCTCCTCTCTGTACACACCCCCTCCCATGTATAGGTGTGTGTACATAACTATGTACACACATTTTTTTCTGCAAATTTGGGAGCGGGTTACACACGTGATATAATGCCCTTTTAACTCTACATATTGGATTTTGTGTTTACCCAAACCAAAGACATCCTGTTATTGTAACCAGAAGTACAAACGGCTAACAGTCTGGCAAAACCCTGGATATTAACATCCACTTAATATTGTTATCCAATCTAGAGATTTCACACAAGCTTTGCCAATCGTCTCTGTTCTGAGCCAAGAATACATTTAGCTGTGTTTTTCCCACACCCTCTTTGTATACTGGGCCGCAATTCTCTCTTTTTATTTTGTTCTTCCTCTTTCAGCAGCTAGCCCTTTTTTGCAAATTACAGGCCAGTTATTTTGTAGAACATCTAATGTCATGATTAGTTCAGGTGTAGCAAGAGCACTTCTAGAGAAGTGCTAGGCTCTTCTCAGTGCATCAGATCGGGGGTCCGTGATGTTGATTGGTTTCATTGCCCATGACTTTGTGGTTACTTGGTGGTGACATGTGTAGTGTCGCTACTTTATTTTTATTTCATTTTGTTTTACTTTATTTTATTTTTTATCATTATTTTAAGCCACTAAGCTGCTGCTGCTTCTTTTTTTTTTTTAAATGTTTATTTTTGAGACAGGGAAAGAGTGAGAGAAAGAGAGGGAGACACAGAATCTGAAGCAGGCTCCAGGCTCTGAGCTGTCAGCACAGAGCCCGACGTGGGGCTCAAACCCATGAACCGTGAGATCATGACCTGAGCGAAGTCAGATGCTTTACCGACTGAGCCCCCCAGGTGCCCCCCAGTCTTCTCTACCTTAAAATAACTAGCTTCCCCTTCCTAGTGAATACGTGTCTTGTGGGGAGATCCTCTGAGATGCTGTAAATATGTGCTGACTGACGTGATGTGTTTCACTTCCAACAGACCTCATTGGGAGTATAAATCTAGTGCCCGTGTGACTTCCTTTCTTAGGAAGGTCATCTTTTCTTTGCCGTTGGGTGTGTGTGTGGTGGATGGTTTGTGTGCCTGAGTGGAGGCACATGTGTGATTTGGGTGATGGGGCCACGTGAAATGGCTTGGTGGAAATCACTGGGCACGCATCCTTCTTCTTCTTCTTTTTTTTTTTTTTTAATATTTTTATTTATTTCTAGGAGAGAGAGAGAGAAACAGCGTGAGCAGGGGAGGGTCAGAGAGAGAGGGAGTCACAGGCTCTGAAATAGGCTCCAGGCTCTGAGCTGGCAGTCAGCACAGAGGCCGACACGGGGCTCGAACCCACAAACCGCGAGATCATGACCTAAGCGAAAGTCGGACGCTTAACCGACTAAGCCACCCAGGCGCCCCATCGGCACGCGTCATTCTTGATCGCCATTTTCTTCAAAAAGGGAACCCGAATCAGTGAATTGCAGGGAATACGCACACCAAACAGTTCCTGGCTTTGGCTGCCTGTAGTAAATTGCACTTTTTTTTTTTTTTTTTTTTTTGCCTCTGCTTTTGTTTTTATTTAGAGGGCTCTAAAGAAGGAAATGCAAAAGGGACAACACTATCAGGACGAACTTCCCGGTGCTCAGAAAATGCTGTGGTCCATTGGGGTGCATGAGCCCGGGGAGCAAGAATAGCCTGATTTCCCTGTGTTAACATTGTGTTATGATCAGCTTTTTAAACGACAGACACTCAACAGGCTTCTGAGACAGCATCACAAGTACGGTAATGACAGTCTCGCAGGACGTGTTGGGGCGTTAGTACAGCAGCTGGATCAGTGAGTGACTCTTACGATATTCTTAGCCATGTCTTTCTTTTGGACTGACCAGCTTTTCTGTGAGAGACCTGAGCTAAATTCCAGAAATGACGGTTTTGAGTTAACGTTCTCCGAAGCCTCTCATTAATCTGTTTAGAAATCTTTGCCAGCCCTGTGGCATTTGGTCAGGGAGGCTGTCATCTGTAGCAAGCTTCTCTATAGCTTTTGTGTTGCCCATGCCGACACGGGCAGGGGCAGAGGCGGGATGTATTTTTTATTCTCCTCCTTCTTACCCAGAACAGAAAAACCAGAATCCTAAATTTCCTATTACAGTAGGCGTTTAAAAATTTAAAAAAAAAATTAAAAACAAAAAACAAAAAAACCAACACCAAACTACCATTAAATTAGGTCTCTGTGTCTTATGTGTGTGTGATATACAAGTACAGCTTTTTTTGCCCATTAGATTTTATCTTGAAAGTTCTGGCCTTTTAATGTCTTTATCTTTTTCAGTCCTTTTGCTGAATTCAAGTCTGTTTACAGGTCAGTTTTTATCCAGATCTAGGATAGAATCACCGTTTTTTTAAAAATTGTTTAATGTTTATTTTTAAGAGAGAGAGAGCAAGCACACAAGTATGTGCAGGGGAGGGGCAGAGAGAGAGAGAGAGGGAGACGCAGAATCCAAAGCAGGCTTCAGGCTCTGAGCTGTCAGCACAGAGCCCAATGTGAGGCTCCAACTCATGAACTGTGAGATCATGACCTGAGCCGAAGTCAGCCAACTGAGCCACCCAGGCACCTTGAGAGTCCTCTTCTGCTACGGGGTAAGGGATAGCCACCTCTCCTGTCTAGTTTCTTCCTAAAGGTCAAGTTTGTCAAATCGCCCCATCACATGGATGCGTACAACCGTGTATCTCATTATAAAATAACTATTTGTATAA